ATTCATGTGAGCAGTGTGTGTGCGCACTGTTTTTTTCTCTGTTTCTAACAGAGAAATAAAGATGGTTTAAACTGAATTGAACTTTACTGTATATGGCGTCATATTGAAGAGACAGAAACACAAATGAACACTTGAATTTCTCCTCTGGGGATCAATAAAGGATTATCCTATCTTATAATATCTGAGAAAAATAATTTTGGCCAGGATAATCATGAGATGGAATCTGCATATTGTCCATTACTGACAGTACACATTTTCATGATTCCTTCATCTTGGTAATTTTCTAAATGTATCATTTAAATCTGTCTACTATCTTTGGGTCATTCGTCTTGTAGGTCTGTGTAGCTGTACTCCATACAGTATGTGTTCAACTCGCATAGCAGCAGATCTTTATATTTGGCGAGGAGCCGAGTGTATGTTGTGAGCGGAAAAGGAAATATGATTAGCTGAGGCTGAAGACTATTAAGATGACAAAAACCAGACAGAAACGAGCAGGAACTAATGACATATTGTAACTCTGCAAGTGTGTGTGTGTGTGTGTGTGTGTGTGTGTGTGTGAGAGGGCGTCTATGTGTTGAGGCAGTAAAAACAGGAATGGTTTGAAGACAACTGGTAGGAGAAAGTGAGAAGTAGAATTAAAGAGGAGCTTGATAAATAAAAAAATAGAGAGACAAAATGAATAATCAGATAAAATAAATTAATTAATAAAATCTTCCTTCCACCCTCCCCCTCCCCCTCCTCTCCTTTTAAGCCCAACGCATCTTTTGTAAGAGGTTTTGCAATTCTTGTATTTCTTTTTATTCTTGTGTAATGCATGACTCCAGGTCTGACTTATAGACAGGTTTCTTGTATACAAACAGTACTGGGTGCGCGCGCAGCCAGGGGGCAAAAGGACTCTTCGTTAGCCATGATAAGTCAAATGATATCAATGTAGGTTGACGGGACTTTAGTGTGGACGGATAAAATATAAGGTGACACTGCCAAACTAGAACAGCTCGAATAAAAGGGTATAGTTTACATTCAGTGATCAGCAGTTTAAAAAGAAACATTCATCAAGTGTTTTCAGACGTCATGCAGTGTCACAGTGTGGCCACAAGGTGTCATCCATCTAAAAGGAGACGCATGAAGACGGGCTATGTTTAGTATTTAGGAGCCTGAAGTGTTGCTTTTAACTGAACTGAATTCAGTTTGTTTAAAGGATCAGTAAGATTAAGAATGAAGCCAATACTAACCAACCATCGGGATTGTCCTATTGAGTGTCTCTACCAAGAAACATTTTCATCAAAATCATTAAAATACAACAAAAACAAAACAAGATATAATGTATTGAAAAGGGGATATACAGTAAATCATTGCAGCATACTTTACATTCTACTCCTTCTCTTGAGTAACATTATTTCAGGTGTGAAGGACGGCTGCAGTCTGGCTCATATTATTTCACTTCACTACTTTGATGACATCCATCCCTGTGTGTTTTTTCACCCGTCTATATCCAACCATTTCTCACTGCAGTCTGAACTTTTATTAGAAAACTGTCTCGGAGCTCCCTGCTGTGTCACTGCCTGTCCCTGACCTACAAAGAAATCCGCTCTCTGACACTTCACTACAGCTGAGTATCCGCCTGCAGTTATCCAAGTTAAAGAAGTTCAAATGCTAAACTGAATGTTAATCAGCAGGGAGCGCGTATGGATTACAATCTTTTCTTAACACTGCATCTTGGCACTGATCGTCTCTTAGCGCGGCTAATTCAGTCAATGTTGTAACCGGGGCTCCAATTAAGCTCCTGAATAAACGTTCACACATAACAACACTTTACAGTGGAGGCTCTGGAGTGTATTTATAACAAGTGTAAAGCAGACTGATTACATTGGAAACACTTGAGGTTATAACTGGAACTTTGCTGTGTGTTTGCAGCGAGGCGCAGGCTTGTGACTCCGGTGGGGGACCGAGGGGCCCCTCACCTTCAAAGCTGACCAGGGATGCAAAATAAAAGGAAGAAAAGTAAAGCTTCCTCCGACACATCGATCAAAAACGGGAGAGCAAAAGTTAACCTCCCCCCCCCACGCCAGACTGAGACCCTTAACCCTTTGTTCCCGTCTGCCTCACTCTGACAGACGAGGCTCAGCATCCGTGGAAAATCAGACGTGGAAAGAATCCAAATCTAAAGAGTTTCAGTATTCGTTTTCTTTAGTGGGTCGGACTTCACGTTATAATTCTTTGAGACAGGCAGGTACCCCTGTGTCAGCTGTCGGCTCCAGATACACACTGCAGGTCTGTGTGTGAAATGTGTTCCAGATGAGGAGTAACGTGAGGTGAACCTCCTGCAGGCGGACCACGCAGCACATTTTCTAAACGCACTGGACTTCTCCTGTTCTCGGTAACTGGGGGGGGGGGGGCTACAAACATCTGTGGCTTGTGACCTGTTTAAATAAAGTTTGGTCTGCACTGCATGCTGCAGACCCAAAACCTATAATCACATCAACTAAGAGGAGTTTTTTTGGGGGGGTTTACATTTCTTGCAATAAGAGGCCAGACTTGATCTGTTCATCAAGAGTTACAAACCAAAGCATCATTTCTGCTTTCATGCACTGTAACATGCAGAGTTTCAACTTGTATATTTGTATATTTATCTTGGGGGCGGCAGTAGCTCAGTCTGTGGGGACTTGGATTGGGAACCGGAGGGATGCCGGTTCAAGTCCCGGTGCGGACCAAGCATGGAAGCTGGAGAGGTGCCAGATCACCTCCTGAGCACTGCCGAGGTGCCCTTGAGCAAGCACCAAACCCCCCCTCCCCACCACCAGCTCAAGAGTGCCCGCTCTGGGCCGCTCCGTCACTCTGACATCTCTCCATTAGTGCATGTTCATAGGATCCTGTTTGTGTGCATGTGTGTATATACTTCAGCCTATGTGTGTGTTGCATGACTACAGAGTGTAAAAACTTAAATTTCGATCAATAAAGTAAATCTTCTTATCTAGAACAATATTATAACAGAAATGGTTAGACGGAAGGGGGTGTCTTCAAAATCGCTGTCTGTGCTTCACCATGACACAAACAAGTCCAATATCAAGACGTCCACATTTATGCAAAGTTGGGAATCTGTGTTTTTGAGACGCTTGAACCAGGACATATTTGATGATTTGGCTCAAAAATAGCCTTTTCTTAGTTTTTAAGTATTTAGTTTGTCTTTCCTCTAGATTTTTTTTCCCTGTGATGCCTTCAGGGGTCTCAGCTTGCGTCAGCGCACAGACACTGGAAATATCTGCATCTGCAAACGAAAGCATCAATGAAGCTGCTGGTCGTGTTCTTCTATGACAAAGATGCAGAAGCTGCAGCTTTATTTGAGCTCATTTTGTCCCAACAGGCTTTCTCCAAAGGTATGGACATAATCACTGACCAATGAGGAGAGAACGCATGCATTGGCTGCAGAAGCTGAGATATCTAACAAGTGATGTCCAGGGACTGAAAGGACACGATCCATTTCTTTCTGCCACATCTAAGCTCTAGAAACAACAACAGCAGAGATCTTGCCCCCTCCCCCCCGACCTGTAACAAAAGGCTTTCTGTTATTTCTGTCACCTGTCATTTCAACCCACCACTTCTAAAACGTTTCCCCTGTCATTTACGAGAACCACAGAGGAAACAATTTCCTGGGTCTTTTAACAACAATGGGCACCCTTGAGTTGTCACTTCACTTCACTTTGTAAACCTTGTTGTGTTGCTTCTGATTTATGTCCCATGTTTTCCTGGAGGAAACAGCTTGATAGTTGCAGGTTGACGATGAATAATGTGGCTGTTGGAAGTTGGGGGAAAAGGGGGAGCCGCCGAATCATCTGCCAGAGCTGTTGCTCCACAAATAGGCTGTGTCAGCGTTATTATCTGGTTTTCCTGAGTCATCTGTGACTGAGGCAGAGAACCTCCTGCTGAGTCTGTGCAGCGTCGAGACTCAGATCTGAAGCCTCTGATGGGATTGTCTCGCAGTTTTAGACGCTGTGCGAGACAAAAGTGGAGTTTAAAGAAGGTAACACTTATTCATGAGGTGATTTTGCATGTTTTTATGCTGATAGGAGCGTTACATCCCTTTAGAGAGTTTCGAGATATTTCAGTATCAGAGTGTTATCCATGGGGAATTCCTTCTCGCCTTCACTCCTAACGCCGTGTCTCTGCTCGGGGATCGGTGTGCTAAGCCCTGAAAACATTTGTGTTTAGACCCTTATAGGTGGATATATCACTCAGCATAATAGGATCAGGCGTGATTATCCTCATTTAATTGTGAGAGGTCAAAGGCTTAGGAAGGGGCTGCGGAGGATAAAGCACGCCTTTCTTTCCCTCTGCAGTGTTAACCAAAGACCTCAAATCATTATCTGTGCAGTTTGAAAAGGTGCCTGAGAGCTAATTAGACACACACATTCCATTCACAAAGATGTGTCTGCAGGACAACTTTTGAGGAGAGAAAGAAAGGAGCAATTCAGTGTGGGAAAATGACTTCCCATTTAGAGGGGAGGGAATTTGAGGGGTTTGAAATTTAAAAAAAAAAAGCTTTGCATGTAAAATGCGTCACTTTGAAGATTGTTGTTGCATCTGCATTTTCAAATAATAAAATCTGCACTATTTATTGCAATCATTTCCGTTTTGATTACTTTTTTTGTTTGGCGATTTTTGGGAGACCTCAAACTTTTTTTTTTTCTGCTTCTCAAAACTAATTAAGGCTCCACAAAGTCACGCATCCATGAGAGGCCTGTCGTGCAGCGAAATTCTCCATTCATCCTTTTAACTTCTTCCCAGAAAAATGTCGGTAAAATTGCTGCACAGCTCGCTGTTATTGCAACGAATAAAAAAGAAGAAACACACAACCCCCACCTTGCATGCAAAAACCAATCATGCAAAACCCACACAGTGTTTAGTTAGAAATAAATCAGCCTGCGATGAAGGAGTATAGATCAAAGTCTTTTATTGTATGAAAAATATATCCATAAAACGGAACATTAGGCTATTTACAAAAAAAACCATTATGCGCCTGTGCAGGGCGGAGATCTGCGCAGCTTCACCGTGTCCCCCCAGTATAAAAAAAACATCAGTTTCGGTTCTGTGGATTGAGCCCGTTTAAAAACCGAACTTCACATTAATACCGACGAGCAACAGTGATGCGCACATCTCTCCGTCCTGGCTGATTCTCTTGAGGCGCTTCATCATGAGGAGAAGACATAAAAACAAAAAAACTTTTGACGCACAAAATACTTTTGTTCACAGGAAAACATGGTCCGTACAAACTAGCCTCTGTGGATGGATCCTAACAGGATGATTTATGATGATCCAAAAATGACAGGAAGGAGTCTAACATACAGACAAATAAAAAATAAATACAGTTAATCATTACAGACTATCTAAAATGGGTTTAATACTGAAAAATCTGCAGCATTTGTTTTCATCATAGCAGCTCTAAAAGGGTAGAATAAATCTACACACTAATAACTTCATTGTTAGGTTGTTCCGTTCTTTCTCTGTATTGATCCAGCCAGTCTCTGAGCTCTGTGATCCGGTACCCCTCAGGTCCTCTGCCCCCCTGGTACACAATCTTCCCCTCCTGCAGGATATAAAGTCTGTCGAAATAAGCACCGTACGCGGCGTTGGAGGAGTTTTCCATGCTGTCCACCACCAGCCGGCAGCCGGGCACCTCCAGGTGCATCAGCTGCGCAGCGTGCAGCCGGTCCTCCAGACACCGGTGTTTGGGGATCTGATAGGGCGCGTCCGTGCTCATCCAGCCGTCGGAGGGGTGCGCCTCCTCGATGTACACCACCACAGAGTCCGCGATGTCCGCGTTCTGCTGCACGACTCCCTGGAAAGCCTTGAGCCGCGCCATGAACGGCGGTCAGGTGCAGCTGCCAAAGTTGAGGATGAGCGGTCTCTTGTCCTCTGCGTAATCGAGGATGCGGCTGCGCTTCTGATCCTCCAGCTGGACAACTTCAGTGTTGGGCGCACCGTGTCCGAGATGCGCAGCCTTCAGGAAGTCCAGCTTGTGCCCGTGCCACACCGCCTTGAGGGACTCCATGCTGAAGAGACGATTGGAGTCCGATATGCAGAGAGGGGGGTCGATGGCATCGCCCTCCTGCTCCTTCATCCTGAAGAAAACCCGCTTCCTTATGCATAGAAAGTCCAGCAGCCAGAACATGACAGCTGCCATCAGAAACCGGGGCAGCACGACCAGACACACTATTGCATTCTTAATGGCTTTAATGGTATTCATGATCACCTGGAGTGACAACCTGAGTGGTCTCTGCTCGGTGCCACAGTCTTGTGGGTTGAAGTTGGGTTACTTGCAACTTCCCCTCTTTTTATAGCACCGGCAGATTTGAATGAATCACACCCCGCCTCCAAACTGGGGCCGAGGCCTCACATGGTGGGGATTACCTTCTGTCAACTCCACTGCTTTGAGTTACAGCCAAAAGCCAAGGGTGCAGGACAGGGTGCGGAGCAGAGGCGCGTTATTTGGAGACGTAGCCTTGCCCTATCAGACTCGTTGAAATTGCCGAAAAGTTCTTGCATATAGTTCCAAATTTGGGGTCAGCTGCTTTTTCTTTTGCAGCTGCTTTTTTTTTTTTTTTTGCGGAACACGTTTCAGCAGATCCTAATTACCTTCACCCCACTTACGGGACTCTGCTCTGCTCCCAAACTGTCCTCAGCTGATCTCTCCAACACATGTGAACACTGGACAGTCTGTCCTTGTGCAATGTCACAGCAGTTGTCAGCTCACGTGAGAGCAGCTAAGGTGACACTCCTGCAACAATAAATTGCATTTGGCATATCTGAAATAAAATTGAGGAATCTAATTTTGGGAGAGAAGCACAAAAAAAACAACAACTGAAAAAACAATTTTGAGCAAAGACATGAAAATACAATTTTTCATAAAAAGGAAGTCAGGTACCCTGGAGGTGAATAAATGTGTATTTAAGGGAAAATCAAACATTTTTTCCCACATTAATCAGACCCAGACATAAGACTATTATCTCAGATTGAAAAATGAAGTGCAAGACTTTGAACCATTTTTCATGTGTCCTTGATCATCTTCCTCAGGTGCAGCTTCTGTGCCTACAAAAGGAACACCATGACATCCAACTATTGACACACACACACACACACACACACACACACACACACACACACACACACACACACACACACACACACACACACACACACACACACACACACACACACACACACACACACACACACACACACACACACACACACACAGACACACACTCTCTCCCTCTCTCTCTCTCTCTCTCTCTCTCTCTCTCTCTCTCTCCCTCTGTTAGAGCCTCCAGTCTGTCTGCGGCACCGGAGCTCATGCGGTGTTACAAAGGCTCAGGATATAAATCAAAATCCATAGAAACTTCACATTCGTGGGGTCAAAAGAAACATCATACTCTCTTCTACTGTGGCCAGAAATCCCCCTTCTTTTTTTTGGTATTGTTTTTACATAAAGGGGGCTAAGATCATTTCAAAATGTGTCCTGGCTGATGTCTGAAAGCTCGTAAAACTTTAAAGAATGTTGAAAACAGTCTCCGTTGGTTGCTTGTGTGGTGTTAGATGATCTGCCCTCTTGAAACAAACTCCACAAACTCTTCCTAGAAAGTATAAAAACAACACTGTTTCCTTTTTTTTTTTCCTCCACAAGTTGAATTTTTAACCATGGCATTATGTTATGACACCTTTCTGCTGAACCTGAACATTGTTGAATCTGTTGGCTACAAAAACAAGTCAGAAAAAGGGGTCTGTGAAGTGTCAGGTCGTCGAGTGGTTTGTGCGTTGGCCCCATCCACAGAGGTTCACGTCCTTGAAAGTAGTTGACCTGGGTTCAAATTCATCCTGTGGCTCCTTTATTGCATTTCATTCCCCACTCTCTCGCTCACCCTGATTTCTGACTCTATCCACTGACCTGTCTCTAAATAAAGGCATAAAAAGCCAAAAAATAAATCTTCAAAAAAACAACAACTAAAAAAATAAAAAAGCAGAAATGGTCTGGATCAGACTGACCTGCAATATGGTGGGATGGTTACATTTGATCCATGCTGTTGATCGATTCAGTTATTCATGTTTTCACACCCCCGATCAAATTAGGTCTAATGTCTCTGAGATTTTCTAATAAGCCCCACAAGCAGAAACGTGTTCAAATTAGGATCAATATTGGAGATGCTTTTGAAAAAGGAGGCAGAAAGGTTTCAAGACTAATGCAGAGCTGGCTAAACACTGAAGCTTCCGTGTCAACGACATGGCAACCTGAGTGCACATCGACTCTTGGGAGGAGGGGACGGGGGGGAGACAGCGCTCTCCAATGTTTTGATTTTGGACTGCAGTACCCATTTTAAACGCTAGGTGTCAGAGTTACATATTGCTCCTTTAAAACATTGGTTCCCAACCTGGGGTTCTGGCCCCCCTACTATGGCTCCAAAGATCTCTCAACCTAGTTAAGCAGTGAGCCACCTGCCACTAGTGTCGTTGTGTGAGGGAAGTTGGGAGAGGGTCAAATGTCAACCTGGGAGTCGAGAGTGAAGAGTCTGAGCACAGAATGCAGAAAAAGCCTCATTTTACTGGTCCAGGGATCTTTAATGTAAATGTTACCCATTTGGATGAGTTCATTTTTACATCCCTTCCTGCAGTTACTAGTTCCCTCACTCTGTATGATTTACATCTTTGACCAAATCCTCTGAAAACAGGCTCAAAATGTACCTGTCATCCATTATTCATATACAAAGATGCATACACCCTACAGACATTTTCTCAGACTTCAACTCTTCTTTTAAGGAAAAAGAAAAACTTAAGAAAACTTTATGTATCAAAAACATTAAAAAACACATTGAAGGCGGCAGACAGACACTTTAAAAGCACTTCAGAAGCAAAACTAACCACCATGACGTTGAAGGACAGCAGTCAAAACAGCAGTGATGATCCTCCCACAGAAACAAACACAACTGTTACACATACAAGGCCAATAACTAACATCCAGAGATAAAAGCTACAGAGGGGGTTTAGACATCATCACACAGCTCAGTAAAGAAAATCTTTCATGCTCTGTGGAATAAAGTTTGCTGCACACTTCAGGTGGTGCAGACATGGTGTGTGGTATTTATAGTTTCTGTCTTTAACTGAGACTGACACCACAGAAAGAATAGACATTAATATCGAAAGAAACAAGCCGAAACATGTACGCATATCCAAAGAATAGTCTGGAAGTATCAAAAGGAGGGTTGAATAAAAGAAGTTTAAGATAAATATGCTGTGATAGCATGACTAAAGATACCAGATGTGTTTCTGAGGTTACTTGTCTGATTCGATCAACATTTTGGTCCAGATAAAAGACTCCTTGTAATCATAGTTTGAACAAATCCCAAACCAAGGTGCATCAAACAGAGTTTGTTGGAGTTGTTTTTATCTGGCTCAACCATCCGGCTGCTTGTCCTCAGGAATCCCTTGGTGGAAATCGCAAGTCCCGTTATTTTCTACTTCTGTAAGAATCCTTATCATTTTTGTGGGTCATTTTCTTTTTCATCTTGTCAAAAGAAGAAAAGAGACCAGTGATTGGATACGATTACCTGATTACCTCAGATTACCGGAGCACTGTTCAAAGTTGGTTCACTTAGAAAGGTCCTGATGATGTAGAGACTCAGTGATCACAGTCTGGCTGCAGAGACATGTCAAAACTAAAAAAAAGGAGCCGGCTCCCAGAGGAGGACAGACTCTGCTCCCACTGTGACACCTTACAGGCAGACACAGAGCTCCACTTCCTCACATCATGCCCCACATATCAGGATGTGAGAGAGGAACACTTCCCCCCCCAAATAAAACACATGCAAACACACACACAATGTGAGTCTGATCCATGGGGCAACCTCTGGTGTTGAAAAATGAAGCTGACGCAGAAATGCACAATCCTGCAGTTCATGAAGTGTCCACTTGAGGCTGTCTCCAGGAACACCAAAGTCACATACACACCAAGTCA